AATTACTACTTTGTTCCCCTGTTAAAAGACAGATTTTGAATAGTAATAAATTATTGCCTCTGCTGAAATCACTTGGTGTTATTTTTCTCACTGTAAAGGTTAGTATTAAAATTTTCTAAACTACGTATTTGTGCCTTCTTACTAAATACAGCACATCCAATTAAATGTAAACATATTTCAAACATCAGTTGAATTCAGCTTCGGTGTTCCCAAAACCTTGGTTTAATGATGACACTATTGGAATTTCTTTTTTTCTCAAAGTTTTCTCCTTCGAGTCACAAAATTCTCATTTATATCTGCTTCTAGCTTAGAGCTGTGTGTGAGATATACTCCCTGTGTGTTTAGTGGGTTTTTTTTGTTTTGTTTTGTTTTTAGTTTCAATCTTTGCAAATTAAAGAGGTCCAGAAAAATGTAGCACCAAGCAAACCAATAAAGATACAATTATGAGGGAAACTACTAAGCGTGCCTAGTTTTAATGAGTATTTTTTTCTTTTTTCTGAGAAGTCCTTAAAGAAAATTGTGGTATACTTAGAATTATTGGACACATACTTACTCTCCACACAAACCTAAAAATGGTGTGACCCTTTTCACTCACTTGAAAAGTAGAGAAATGGTTTTCACATTAGGTTAGGAGAGGGGGTGGACCAAAATGAAAACTAAGTATTTCTTGTATTCAAGGCATTTAAAATATCCCTGTAATTGACAGAATGAACATATTAGAACAAGACCTTGTGTAAGAGGCTGACTTTTCCAAATAAATTTCTTTTATGGAAAAAAAGTACATTTCTCTCTGTTGAAAGGAAAGAAATAAAAGCCAGAGTGATAACGACAAAATTAAGCTGCCACCCACAGGGGATGAAGACTTGGATAGAGCCCAGAGTCAACAAGTAAGTTTTAATTAGGTCTGATTAGCCACTTCCCTCTAGGAGGCCATCCCGAACAATTTCTTCCTGCTTCACAACCCTGTTTATTTGAGGCTCAGCAGGAAGTTCATACTTTACAGGTGGTCTTTTTTCATCTTGGGTTTTATCTCCATTTGGCTTACACATCTGAGCAAATTACTAACCTCCTGTGATTCCAAAATCAACCCCAAAGAGATCTTACAAAGTTATTTTTGTGAAAATGTGATTAAATAATATGCAGCAAAAACAGTAGGGAGCAAAGATTTATAGAGTTGTATCAGATATTTAATAGATAAAAATATTTCTATTTTTATAAAATTTTGATGTTTAAAGTATTTCTAAACTTGTAAAGCTTAGTTATTCATTATTTTACACTCTAAATAAATGTTTATTTTCACACAAACTTTGTGTATTGTTTTATGTTCTTTTTCCTAAAGGGTACCTCATAAATTGTCTGTTTCCTACCCCACAAAACCTAAATGTATCTTTGCCTGAATTATTTAAATTATAAATTTTCATTTTCTCCTGGATCATTTCCATAAACACAAATTTGATATGCCTTTGCCACCTGCAGGAAAAAAGAACCTCCTTAAGACCACATCATGCCTACCACTCGAGAATAAATCCTTTTTAAATTAAAATAATAGACCACATCATGCATTACTTTACAGACGTGGTCCCATTTCACTATGCTCCTTTACATAGAGATTCCCTGAAGGAATTAACTGCACCTTTCATTCCCATGGTCTCCCCTTCAATCACTCCTCAGTCTAAACTAGGATTTCTCTCCATTCTTCCAAAATCACTAGTGTAGAAATCACTAGAATTTTTCATGTTGCTAAAGCCAATGGTCAATTTCAGTGCTCATTTCGCTCAGCCTCTCTAGCAGCATATGATACGGTTGATCCGACATTCTCCTTGCATTCCTGTTACCTCATTAGAAACTTCTCAGACTCCGTGAAGAAGCCAAATTCTCTTTTAGATGTCCATTTGTTAGATGTTTCAGGATTCAAATACAATCTCAATTCCAAGTACACTAATACCTAAGTTGATCTCCTCTAAATTTAAAATATCTATAAACTCTAAGGACTCCCAAATTATACACACCCAGCACTGCTCCAGTACCCAACCGCCTGCTTGATAACTCTATTTAGATTTTCACATATCCAAGCAAGTTTCTACTTCTACTAACCCCACCAAAATATTCCTCTTTATTATCTTAATTTATGGGATCATAATTGTTATGCCCTTCTTCCTCCCTTTTCCTCATTACATATTCAATCCATAATAAGCAAATCCTATTGGTTCCACATTCAAAACATTGATTTTTTAAAATTATACTTTAAGTTCCAGGATACACGTGCAGATCTTGATTTTAGAAGCTGTATAGAATTATGAAAAGAATACCGACCTGAAAAAATTAAAGAGCTTCCTAGGGGAAAAAAAATCTCTTTTTCAGTGTTTGAATCTCATCTTTCATGACAGGTAATTTTTGACTGAGTGCTGGACACTGTGTTTGGAAAACTGCAGGGATAATTAGAGGGTCTACATCATGTTGTCCTCCTCAAGAAAGGATTTATTTGACGTCAATCAGGCAATTATCTAGCGGCTACTTGATGGAGTATTTTTATTTTTGTAATTTCTCCTTACTCCTAAAGAACACTTTAGAAATCCCTGCTGACCATAGAGATGTTTAGAAAAGGTCTGTTCCTTAATGAGCCCTGACATGTAGCTGTTGCTCTCTCAGTTCTTTGAGTCTACCATAAGTTCTGCCCATTTTTTTTAGTCTCTTGACTACTGTTATGCAGTAACATTGCTCTTAAGGCATTTTTCAGTTTTATAATTCATGCTAAAAACAATTCCAAAGAAACACAGACATTGACACGATCACATGTAACCATAAAATAACTGATTAACATATTGTTGGAGAATATTATCAAAAATCTGGAGTCTACTAAAAATAATCAAATAGTGTTTTTTAATTTAAATTTTTTAAAGTAAAATGAATAGGCTCAATAGCAGACTAGAGAGAACTGCAGGGGATTTGTGAAGTAGAAGAGAAGTCAGTAGAAAATAACCTGATCCAGGGGAGAAATAAGAAAAGAAAAAACATTTTAAAGAGCATTTGTGATTTATGGCATATGTTAAAAAGGTTTAACATTTGGATCATGATGAAAAGATCTAACCTACTTGTAATTGCAGACTTAAACTGAAAGAATAAAGAGAATGGGAAAAATAAATTTGTAAGACATAGTGGTTGATCATTTTTAAAAGTTTAATAAAGTCATCAAAACAGATGCATGAAGTATTTCAAATCTCAAACAGGAAAAATACAATGGAAACATACTTAGGTAGATCAGAGAAAAGTGCTGCAAACCAAAGGTAACACAATTTTTCTTTTTAAAGTAGTCAGAGAAAAAAATAAATTTGTCTTTAAAGAACCAAGATAGAAGCAAAATCTTTTGCCCCCTGAAAGAGGATCAGAAATCTCTCTGCTCCTGCCACAAGCCTTGCAAACAAAATCAACATTTTTTTTTTTTTTTTTACTTCTGGGGAAAGGTCAGAAAGCCTTCATGCCACTTGTCTAGACAAAAGTGAGTTGCCACTGAGGGAAAAGTAGAAGGAAAAGTAGTTTACTCTTAGAGAAGAGACAGAAATCCACTGAAGCTAGGAACCTGCCCTTCTATCAGAAGTCTGCTAGGAAAAGAGGAGAAACTCCCACCCATGACCAGTCACAGATAAAAAGTAGAGTCTGGCTGCCATGACTGGTGACATGAGGTAGGAACACTAATTCCCAGGTCTCAGGTTTATAGGGCCTGACTAGGATGGAGGCTGGATAAGGGAATAGAATATTGTGGAAAAAGTAGGATATTGTGTAATAAGGGAGTTGATTTATCAAGATAATATAATAACTTTAATAATCTAATAACAGCACTACAAATACAGAAAAAAATAAATAAATAGACAAACCTATCATTATTAGTGGAGATGTCAACATAATTTTCTCCATATTTGATAGGTCAAGTAAACAAAAAGAAAGTCAGCAAATATATGGAAGATCTGAACAACACCATCAACCAAATTAACCTAATTGACATTTTTATAACGTCTACTCAGCAACAGAAGAATACAAATGTCAACACATTTGAAATTGAAATTATACAGAATAGTTCATTTTAACGTAAGGATATTAAATTAGAAATAAGGAAAATGATATTAAATTAGAAATAAGAAATGAGGAATAAACAAAATGTATGACAATTACACTCTATACTTCTAAATAATAAATAAGTCAAAGAAATCATAAAGGAAATTAGAAGTAAGGTAAAACTCTGATTCATTGATTTGAGACACTTCTAACATAAGAATTTTTCTCTAAGCTCTATTTTTTCTTCAATTTGAAATTTTTTTTCTAATTTTCTTTATGATTTCTTTGACTTAGAAGTATAGATTTTTCCAGAGGTTTTTGTTTATTCCTCATTTCATGAAATCACAGAGATAGCTTTTCTTTGCTAGACGGCTACTTAAGAGTTCTGCAGGCTACAGAAGTGATTTTTAGTAAACTAGAGCTTTGTCCCAGAATGTGAACTATTGGTCAACTGTTCACACGGGCAGCTGACAGTGACAACCAACCTATCATGATAAATTTACTTAGTTAACAAATTGACATAAGTATTTAAAACAAAAACTTTCACTTAACTTTTACTAAAATGTAGTAATACCAGTCTCCTTTGGGTATCAATATCGCATTTGGAGCACTTACATGATCATCCTGTTTTAAGTAAGGCAAAGACTGAAGAATATTTGAAAGTCTATACATAGAGATTTAACTGCAGTACATTTTTCTCTTCATCTGTCAAAAAAATGTGTGGTCACAACTGGACTTTTTTTTTCCCCTATGGACCTAATAGCATATAAAACAAGATTGCCACAATGGGCAAATGGAAATTTCTCTTGGATCCCACAAGAGAGCTGAGCTGCCATTTTTGAGGTTTTTTTTTTTCTCTCTTGGGTCTTGGCAGACATGTAGGGAAAGTCCTGGTATTCTATAAAGCCCTCAGAATCCAAAGGTCTTCACAGTTCAGTGTGCCTAAATCACTGTCATGTTCAGCAGGAAGGTGATGGGCACCCTGGTCCCAGGGTGCTGGAAGAGCCAGCCTGATGCCACATCAGGTACAGATGTGGTCCTGGTGCCTTGGGCTCTCCTGTCACCTTATTCTGGCTTTCAGCTCGAAAGCAGTGGGGTAATCTGTACCCATTCACTCCTTCTAGGTTTAGGAAGTGGGTTCCTCACATCTGTTCAATACCTGAATCTTTTTCTTCTACTTCTTCCTGTTTTAGAATCAGCGAAGGCTTTGTTTTCACATTTCACCCTATCAGAGGCTGCTGTGCTGAGGTGAGTGCTCCCTCTCAGAGCATTGCTTTCTTGCTATTCAGGCAGCCCTGTTGCAGGCTCCTACAACACAGCAACATTTAAACTCTAAAATGTTTAATGTTTCTCTGTTCTACCCACTCTCAATTCCTAGCAGTCAGTCTGGATGATATTCTTGTCTCCTGAAATCTAAGTGCAGCCAGTTATGCAGTGAGCTGAGGGAGCAGGCTCCCCTTGCCACTTTTGAGACGTCTCTTGGTGCAGGGTCAAAAATAAGTGCTCCAGATTATAACGCCAGACTTTAGATCTTTACCACTGACCCAAAGACCTGATATCCCTGTCCTGCCACCACTGTGTCTTCCTGGCAACTTGTTTGTGTTGCTGGCTACAAAAACTGCTGCTGTCTTGGCAGGGGCAGAGGTTAAATGTCCATCAAATTCAAATTGCTTGAAACCTACTTATTTATAGAACCCTGACAAAATTGGAGAAAAGTGCATAGCAGCAGGCATAAGAAACAAAGATGTTTGATTCTAGACCAGTGTTAAATCTGCTGTGAGGGGTAACATGTTTGAGTAGGCTTAATGGAGTAAAAACTATTATAAGTAAAAAGGCTCTACATATTTTGCAGTAAGATGGTACATAAAAATAACAGTATGCAATAATTAGTGCCTATGTACCTTCATTTAGTTGATGAGAAATAAGGAATTCTTTGTCTTGCAGAGCTTCCTCTAGAAGTGAAAACTTAAGTAACTTGTGAACAAGTATAGCTAAGTATGTCCATCTTTGTTTCTTTGACAACTGTTATAAGCTAGAATGATTTTTCTCTTCTTTGTGTCTTTCTTTCCTCCCTCCCTTCCTTCCTTCCCCTTCCTTTCCTTTCCTTCCTTCCTTTCTTCCTTCCTTCCTTCCTCTGACAGTCTCACTCTGTTGCCCAGGCTGGAGCGTAGAGGCGTGGTCTCAGCTTACTGTAACCTCTGCCTCCCAAGTTCAAGTGATTCTCCTGTCTCAGCCTCCTGAGTAGCTGTGACTACAGCAGCTGCCACCATGCCCAGCTAATTTTTTGTATTTTTAGTAGAGACAAGGTATCACCATGTTGGCCAGGCTGATCTCGAACTCCTGACCTCATGGTCTGCCTGCCTCTGCCTCCCAAACCACTGGGATTACAGGTGTGAGCCACTGCACCCAGCCCTTTGTGTGTATCTTTAAGTGTCTGCTATGAAGATGCTTTCTAATAGGTCTATGAATCTCTGGTTTGGCAACCCTCTCCTATCCTAACCCATCTTTCCACATCAAAAACAAGAATATAATAAGAGGATGTTGTCATCTTGCTCGCAAATAGTGATTACTTATTGTCTGTACTTCAGGGTAATTCTTCAATGCCTCACTCTTCCATGATCTGGTCCATGACAAAAGTCTCTCTCTCTGTCTCTCTCTCTCTCTCCCTCCCTCCATCCATTTCTTTTCTGCTCATTCACGCACTACAATTTGTCCACTCACACAGCAATTATGAGTTGCTTTCCTGAAAATTTCAAGCTGTTTCATATCTCTGTGCACTTGTTCACTCCAATTCATCTGCCAAAAATGCCTTTTCCTCTCCCTAATTTATATTTAAAAGCATATCCAATCATGATCTATTCTCTGATACACTTACCAAGCATTTCTACACATTCATTTCTGTTTTGTGTGCCTGATTGAATACGTACTTGTGTCATATTGCTTTCTTTTTAAAAATTGGGTTCATTTCTAATAGTCTCAGCTTATAACAAAATTTCAGCAAGATTAAAGAGCATTTCCTAAAATAGTCAGAAATTTTAAATGTAAAATATAGTAGTAAGTCCAAAATGTGATATTCTTCATTTGTGTATTTCACTCTAGTGGTTACGGGCGTGCCTTTGTAGTCAGACCTGGGCTTTACAATTCTGATTTTATCACTGTCTAACTTGGAAATGTTATTTAATCTAGCTAAAGCACAGTGTCTTCTTTGAAATAAGAATAAGAATGTCTAGTTAGCATTCTTTTGTGGATTAAATGGGATATTGCATGAAAAGAACTTCCCAGCACCTATGAATACTCGTTAAATTATTATTAGAGTATTTTCTGAACTGTAATAGTAGACAGTAAAGATAGTAAGACAGTAAATGATGCCATCTAACTAAACACCTTAGTAAATGGCATCACCTCTAGGTAATAACTCCTATATTTGAGATTCCTCCATGATTTCTTTCATTCTCTCAACTTCCATATCCAATCCACCAATTACTGTTAAAGATTCTACTTCTAATGTGTATCTTAAATCCACCTCTCTGAAGCCACAGTGTCTAAGTTCACTGTTCACTATCACCTGGTCTGAGTAGCCTGCACTAGTTTCATAGCTCACAGCTCACACTCTTGCCTCCAAGGTGTCCATGGTGTCCACTTTGCAATGACAGAGTTATCTTTCCATTGCATAAATCGTATCATCCCCATTCACCTTTCATCTTTTGATTGTTTCCCACTGCTTTTAGACCACGATTCAGAACCCTGATAACCTGTGGGGATCTGCACCCTCTGGCTCTGCCTTCCTGCCCTCTTCCTTGGCTCCTTTCCCATCCATCACAGCACAGCCATGGTACCTCCTTCAGCACGGCTCCCCCTCACCGTAGCCCTTCAAAGGGCTGGGGTCCTGGAATCTTTCCCAGCCTTAATATCACCTTCTCAAAGGTCACAGGGACTTTTCCTGGTTACTTTAGCATTATTTTCTGTTTGCTAACCTTTATAGAAAATATTTCAAATTTTACAGTGCATCTCTTTGTTTTCTTATTTTTAAAAATCTCCACTCAGTGACCCCCACCTTCACTCCCAAGAACGTCCAATTCCCTGAGTGAGGCCCATGTTTATTTCGCTCATGGCTTTGCTCAGTTCATGACAGCTCCTCCGCTTCCTCCTGTTAGTGTATTCTTAACTTCATTACCGCTCTAATATGGGATAGGAGCCCCTTTCATGATGATTGCCATTAGTTTATATAAAATTTCACTTACATTAGCTCATTTGGATTTTGATCCTCAATGAAATAAGCTGAATAAATATTAATACTCACATCTACAAAAGAGGAAACTGAATCTCAGAGAGGGTAAGATTTCAAGGTTATAGCACATCCGTGGCAGACCTTAGGTTTGAATGAAGTCCAGGAGATCTTTAACACTGAAAAGCCCAACTCTCCACTACTCACTTTCTCATGTACCTCATGAGAAAGGTTAGTGACAGCTACTCTCTATCTCCAGGGATGGCAGAAGAAAATACAGCATGTGAAGGATAAAGGAGTTGTAAGGAAGAACTTCCAGAGCTCTGGGTAGGTGGTAAGACAGGAAGAGCAGGAGTATCTTTTGGAATTGGCAATTGTAAGGTGTCAGACAGTGCAAGACATTAGAAAGAGCATGGGCTTTAGACTGAGACTTGAATGTGATTCCGGCCCTGCTACCAGCAAGAACTTGGTCAGTTACTTAATTTCTCTCCAAGACATGATTTCTTCATCATTAAAATAAACTTTTCCTTCCTTCCTTTCTTCCTTCCTTCTTTCTCTCTCTCTCTCTTTCTTTCTTTCTTTCTCTCTCTCTCTCTCTCTTTCTTTCTTTCTTTCTTTCTTTTCTTCCTTCCTTCCTTCCTTCTTTCTTGTCTTTCTTTTTCTCTTCTTTCCCTTCCTTTCCTTTTCCTTTCCCTCCCCACTCCCCTCGCCTCCCCTCTCCTCTCCTTTCCTCTCCTTCTTTTTTTTTTTTTTTTTTTTTTTTTGAGACGGAGTTTCACTCATGTTACCCGGGCTGGAGTGCAACGGCACAACCTCGGCTCACCGCAACCTCCGCCTCCTGGGTTCAGGCAATTCTCCTGTCTCAGCCTCCTGAGTAGCTGGGATTACAGGCACGCACCACCATGTCCAGCTAATGTTTTGTATTTTCAGTAGAGACGGGGTTTCACCATGTTGACCAGGATGGTCTCGATCTCTTGACCTCGTGATCCACCCGCCTCAGACTCCCAATCCTTCTTTTTTTTTGAGATGGAGTCTTACTGTTGACCCCCAGGCTGGAGTGCAATGGCATGATCTCAGACTGCAAACTCCGCCACCCAGGTTCATGCAGGGATTACAGGCATGAGCCATAGCACCCGGCCAAAACAGATATAACACACACACACACACACACACACACACACACACACACACACGGCAATGTGGAAACTAAATTATGTTGTGCGCATCACATACCTCATTCATGTTCTGACCTATAATATGTATTAATAAATGATAACCATTACTGATAGAGAAGCCAAGAATGGAAAAATATAGCTGGACCATGGAGTCTGATCAAATGATTTTTCCTCCCCAGGATAAATAAGCCCTGTGTCTCCCATATGGAAGTGGAGAACCAGACACAGGTCACCAAGTTCATTCTGGTGGGATTCCCCGGGAGCTTCAGCATGCGGGCAGCCATGTTTCTGATGTTCCTGGTGTCCTATATTCTGACAGTGGCTGAAAACGTGATCATCATCCTATTGGTGCAGCAAAATCGAGCACTGCACAAGCCTATGTACTTTTTCCTGGCCAACCTCTCCTTCTTGGAGACCTGGTACATCTCTGTGACCGTGCCCAAGTTACTGTTTAGTTTTTGGTCTGTGAACAACAGCATCTCTTTCACACTCTGTATGATACAACTGTACTTCTTCATTGCACTCATGTGCACAGAATGTGTGCTCCTGGCCGCCATGGCCTATGATCGGTACGTGGCCATCTGTCGCCCACTCCACTACCCAACCATAATGAGCCATGGGCTCTGCTTCTGCCTTGCCCTTGGTTCCTGGGCCGCTGGCTTTGGCATCTCCTTGGCGAAGATCTATTTCATCTCCCACCTCAGCTTCTGTGGTCCCAATATCATCAACCACTTCTTCTGTGACATCTCTCCAGTACTTAATCTCTCCTGCACAGACATGTCCATAGCTGAGTTGGTGGACTTTATCCTGGCACTGGTCGTCTTCCTCTTCCCACTCTTTATTACTGTCTTGTCCTACGGATGCATTCTGGCCACCATCTTACGCATGCCCACAGGAAAGCAGAAAGCGTTCTCCACTTGTGCCTCCCACCTTGTGGTGGTCACCATTTTCTATTCAGCCACTATTTTCATGTATGCTCGACCTCGAGCCATCCATGCCTTCAACATGAACAAAACTATTTCCATCTTCTATGCCATTGTCACTCCTGCTCTCAACCCTTTCATTTATTGCCTAAGAAACCGAGAGGTCAAGGAAGCTCTGAAGAAACTAGCACATTGCTAGACCATCAGATCTGACTAGTCAATTACAGTTGCTTAGAAAGAAAGGGCTGAGTGGGTGCCTATATGCCTTCCTCCATCCCTTCTCCTTTAATGATTCATTTGGAACACTGTCCATATTAATACGACATCACCATATCTATATCAATCTCAGGCTCTTTGGTGTCTCCATCAGGGCATATGATGAGTGTTCTAAGTTCATATGCCTTGTAGAGAGCTAGAGAAAGTAATTTTCAATGGTTGCGACCCCAAATAGGGTTTCTAAGACTGTGACTAAATTTATAACTGAGTTAGTAGGAAGAGAGATGGTGATGGATGAATTAGAGGTTTTTGAATCTGCCGTACACTAATAGCTCTGGGGCCAACAAAATGGGTGATAACTTCCTGATTTCCCATCTTTCTAAGACAGAGGTAGCAACTCCCTCAACAATCCCATTCTTGGTGTTGTGCTGGGAGTGAATTTTGGTGGCAGAGACTGCTTCTTGAGTTTTTGCAACACTTTCTGCAAACACTTACTAACCTGTGTTAAATCCCTTTCTGTTTAAACTAGAGTGCTTTCTTTTATCTGTAAGTGAATTGCACCTTATGCGATTGTGTTTTGTCTTCTGATATAACTTACACAGTTGCCTTTTATTGAATTTCATATTTCCCTTTCAGATCCTACAATTTATCTTTTAGTGGATGAATATCATCAAGTATATCAATTGCTGAATAATAATTGCCCTCATTACTTCTCTTTTCTTTTGATCTTGATGTTCTCTTGCTCCTCTCTCTTTCTCTCTCTCTCTCTGTCTCTCTTACTCTCTTTTAACTTCTCTTGGTTTTCCACTATCTCCACACTCATCTCAGAAACAAGAAAGAAGCTTAGTTTCAGGAACTGACAGATTTTCATTCCATGACATAGTGATTCTCAACTCTCCTTATTTATTTGTCTAACACCCTCTACACACACACTAGACCTTATTGATCAAATGTGCTTTACACCCATAGAAGGTACATAGATATGCTCACTCCTGGTTCATAGTTTTGCCAATGCCAAAGGGAGATCTGTTTTTAAGCTGTATTCAACATAGCGGGCCGACATCAGTGGGAATTTAATTCTTTTATTGTAACAGTTTTAAACAGGAGAGTTTATTGCATTTATAACATCTTTTAGCTACCACACTTTCAAGAATGCTTTCTCTTTCTTCTTAATTAAGAAATATTATCAGGATTATTTGTTCCATTTTATAAACTTCCAGAACAGATGTTCAAGGAAGTAAATAACATACAACCACAGAGAGTGGGGAGCAGAGGTCAAAAGTCCCAGTTCCCTGAATCCAAGCCCTGGGTCTTTCTCTAGTGAATGGGGTCTTCCTAGAGAGAAAACAGACTTCTTTAGAAGCCAAGTATGAAAGCTAGTTGTAAAGGAATATGGTTGGAATTATGAATTGCTATACCTGAAGAACAGTAATAAAATAAAAAAGAAAAAAATGTGAATTATAGGTTTCAGGAAAAAAATAAATAAATGTCAGTGCATCTCACTTTCAGGAATAAGTGTGCAGAAGAGAACAATGCTTAAAATGGAAATAATTTAATGTTTGCTTCTGGAATATAGTTTGGTCCCTTGATGCAATAAACAAGTTGTGATGAATATATTTCTATTTAAAATGTAGACATATAAAAGAGAGATTATTTTCTGAAAATTTCAGATGAATCAAAATATAATGGCACAGTCATATAGAGATATTAAATATGTACATTAAGAAAGGAAACGACATGCTCACTAGGGATTAGGGAATGAAAAATAAAACAACTCCATCAACAACTTGAATTTTAACCCTGGATATCTTTTCACCATGTGACCTTAGCCAAGCCATCTATATACTTTTGGAAACACTGAGTCTTCATGTGTAAAACAGGGGTAATAATAGTTTCTCTGCCTTTCTTACACGATGGTTATAAGAATCAACAACAATGATGGAAAAGATCTTGATTGTTAATTATCTTGGGCAGTGTAAGATCTAAGCAAGGCACCACTAGATTAGGGTTTGCATGGGAAAACTGGTCGGGAAGGCTATGTTCTCTAGACCTGTCTAAAACCATTTCACACCTACTTGACTCCACATACGTAACCTGGGAGGCTGCAACTATCAGGGGCAGTTTATTTCTTTACTATTTCTCATGAGTATCTTGGAAAGGGAGAATGTAGAAGTAAGGTTTCTTGGTAAATTCTATTAAATTGTTTTTCAATTAACAGACGGAACATTCAGCTCCTTCCCCTTTGTAAAAGGAATACGTAAGTGCACAGGCTCAGCAAAGTAGAGGACACAGATTAGACCAATGTGGAAATCTGCTGCAACAGAGAAAATAATTTATAGTGGATTACTAGTTAAATTCATATAGAAACAAGCTATTTGTAAGATGACACACAAAGCAAGCTAGAGGTTTTAGGGCATTTGGTGAGCTTGTTGGGATACCCATTGCAAAAGGCTGGTAGTCAGTTTTAGTAGTTTATCCAGAGAGGATGCCCTGAAGATTTGACTATCACCAACCAAACTCATAAGGAAGCCGACAAAAATAAAATATAAATATATATTACTTACACATGCAGTTTATATTTTAAATCATTATATTTATTCATTCATTTAACTAATATATATTAAAAATCTGTTATATACCTGTAGTGATACAATAGGAAAATATTAAAACTTGTTACCTTCATGGGAGAAACAGATAACAGATAATAACCTTTGTGTGTATATACACATACACACACACAAATAGCTTGTGTGTGTGTGTGTGTGTGTATATATATATA